TAGCAGTAGAGCTAATTTTTTGACTCTCGGCAAACACCGAAGGTGGCTTCAAAGTTGCCTGCCACTGACAAATGGGGGTCGCTGCTCGCATGCCTTTCGTACTATGTTCTGTGCGCGTTCGAAACATTAGTATCATCGTTTTATCTTGTCCAGCATCGTGTGCGTCTTGAACTTCCTGCCTCAGACGGTCAGGAGTCTTTCTCTAAACTATCAGACTAACCAGCGCTGAGTGCTTTCGGTACTTTGGCACTCCCTTACTTAACACAGTCGTTCACCATCTACATCGAAGCCCACAACTAGGGATTTGAAGTGTAGGAGAACAATGACAAGGGCAGAAATATGGTACGAGAATGTTTATTATGTGACAGCTCCAGAATACAATAATTACATTGTCTAGGCTGATGATACTCATGCGAAGATGGAGAATGGTACACCTACATTGCGTGAAGATGTGATGTTATTGACATGTGACTGATTTGCATCCGTATCGTTGGCCTGTGAAAATGTAATAGGGATTCTGAAACAACGGTGCGTCTGTATGATGATGAATACTCCGGGGCCCTGATCTTTTTGACCCACCCCATCAGAGTAATCGGACCGTGACGCCTTCGGCTCGGCCACCTAGCTGGGCCGACGAGAGTATACACGCTTAAACCCGTATTAGATCAATACCACATGATTTCATACCCCAAAAATCGCGCTGGAGATAAGTTGCCGACATCACTGACGGCTGGAATTTTCCTGTGGTTCAAGTAGTCGCATGCATAACACTGGTTTAGAAATCTAAATTCACTGATCATTGAGGGCTTCCTTTGTGTTTCAGGTCGCACTGCAATGCTTACTTCCCCCGATGCAAGGTCTTGAGGTGGAATCAAATATCTATCTCTTTCATGCTGATTTTTGCGATAAAAATGCTGAATGGTAGTACATGTTGACCGCTATCGTTATGCACCACTAACATTCCCTATGTCAGAGTCAGGTCATAGTCCGAGACGGGAATAGCCGAAGCAAAAATGACATCAGCGCAGCACCGGAACATAACAAGTCCGAAAACTCAGACTTACCGGATCGGATATAGTATTGGCGAAGCGTACTATATAAACCGCACGAAGACTTTCAGTCCGAATAATGTTGAAGAGTCTTACCATAATTCCAAGTCTCATAACCACACCCCATTCGCTCACACCCATTTTTCGAATATGACCGTAGTCTTAGATGATACTAGTTTGTGGCCGGTAATCAGTATTGACATTTCTCTCAGCTATTGCGCAGGTTTGTCGTATCAAAATCCCTCGACCTAACATTGACTTGCTATTGCGCAGTTGCCGCCACCGCTGTGGTTGTATATGATCTGGGTGAGAGGGACAGTCTTCGAAAACCGCTTATATCCTCATACATTTCCAGTACTCACGATCGGACAAGAGGTAGGTTGATGATACAATCACAGTAGCAAACTCTCTAAAGAAGGTATCATAGGTTGAACTCATCTGGGTGAGTCCCATATGAGAAGAAAAACAGGACAATACGATGAATTCGCGACAGAGACAACGCTGGTCTCTCATGACCGTACTGTATTTGCTTGTTCGTACCTCATGTTGTGCTATAACGTGGTTGGTAAGTTATGCTGACTCCAATATTCTAGATACGTTATATTGGAATACCATTTTCTGTGTATGTGTCGAGGCCGACAACCTCCTGGCATGCTAATAGTTCATCTCTGACGATTAGTTTCTTTGTTCTGGGTATGTCTCATATGTCTGTGTTCGATTCACATCTGACCAATGGCATAGCATTTGCGCCATTCGTCTCTCTGACAGATGCAGTGAGTATTACGCACCCATCTTATTCGCAAATGAGTACACTCGTTTGCAGGGGTGAGTGAGATTCGGAACATTGAACTTGGCTCAATGTAACGAGTTAATAGGTGTAAGTCGGAGTGTTTGATACTAGTACGAGGGTGATCGCTAATCAAGTGTTTTAGGCAGCATCATGACCTACACACTAGATACGATAAATCTAGTCGTATTTGCCATGTTGGACAGTGAGTTACTCAACTGCAACACCTCTGCGATATTGACTCGACTGAAACACAATGCAAGTCATCGTGATTGCTCGGTTGTATGCCATGTATCAGGGATCTAGAATGATGCTCATCTTCCTTGTCATTGTCTTTATGGCTGTTAACATTGCCTGCGCAGTAATAATAGTAATAACATTCAAGTATTTTGTCGGGGGTAAGCTTTACTCATCAAGTCAAAGAACACAGCTGATTAGATGAACACCAGAGGAGTGGATAATTTCCGGCAGACATATGTGCAATTTTACATTTGATAGGGATGCTCAACATCTGATCTTACTGAATTGGATTCTCGAAACTGTTTGGGAGGTCCTCGCACTGTGTCTTTCAGTTTGTATTACTGTAAAACACTTCCGTGACCTGCGGCGGCTCGGCCCATCGACAGGATCGACCATCAGGGACTGTTTCACAGTTTTGATAAAATCCCACATGCTTTATTTTGCAAGGTGAGCTTGTAATGTGGATGTAGTTATCTTTTTCTGCTAAAGTTCTGCACTAGCTTCGCTAGCGTCTCTTGCATCCGACTTGCTAATCCCTCTCTAAACATCTCCGAGTCGGTGTGCCAACCTTTTACTAATATCTGCTTGTAGCATTGCTCATGATTTCTGTAGAATCTAAATTTTATTGAATATCAGATCATCACCGGTGCCTTTCAAATTCTATTGGTCGTGCCAATGTTTGTGCTGGGACCACGCCTCATCCTTAGCGTTCGAGGATATCATGCAAAACTTTTGACCAACTCCGACGCGGAAACTAGCATGAATTCGATTGTCTTCCAGGAGCGTGTACATGTGTCAACTAGCAGTACTGTGTAGCTATCGGGAAATGCTTGCCGAGTGTTCTCCAGGGAGACAAAATTTGGTCGCCATAGTATTTATTTAACTTATAGTGTTTCGACGTATATTTGAAAGGTCTAGGCCATCTGACTCGATGACTGTCACGAAGGATATATTACACGAATCAATGCAAGATGATCACGAGGAGAATCAAGTTCCGGAGATCGGCTATGATTAAGATTTCAGATATCGATGGCAGGAAGTTGCTCTTTATGGAGGGATACAAATTTAGCAGGGGTGTTCGATTATGGACAAAGTACTTCCAAACCCATATACTAAATAGAAGTGTGACACATCGGGGACTCTAATATTTAGTCAAAATGTCGTATTTTTTGCTTTTAACTTGAAGTTTAAGCCACCCAAAGGCATTTAAGTGTGGTTTAAATGTTGTCCTAAATATCTCAAACCCCGATGTGAGATAACCATAAACAAAAGGGCACCTACCATACCTAACTTCACCTGCCCCACCTGTACCTGTAGGATTGATGTATTACTACCTACAACTACAAGTGATTCGGGATACAATAATCACTGAGGACTACAGATCAGTGTGATACAACACTGTACTGTAGACTATAGTTCCCATAACCCTACTACATTGCCTACTCCATTGCTTAGCTGTGTCCGTGTATAGTAGTGTTATATGTTCCCCTTCGTTCCCTACCGATGAGATCGCAAGATCCATCTGAGATCATCACACCAAAGCCAACAATGACACACTGACTCGTTCAAAGTTCTTGTGCCTAACACCAAAGCTGATAATGGACACACTGAGTTGTTCAAAATTCTTGTGCCTATTCTACCTAGTACATTGCTACTGCTACTCTTCAAAGTCCATGACCATAGGTGTTACGACTTGGATGGTATCTGTTGGCGACGCTCAAACAGAGCGTGTGTCGTCAATGGTCGAGGACGTCCTTGGGCTAGCCCAAGGTTAGGGGTCTTACTTGGCGAGGCTTCGGCAAGTAAGATTTGACGCCTATGTCCAAATCGGGTAGCTTATGTCACGCAGATGCGAGACGATAAGCTATATCGGCCTAGGCTTATGACACCCAAAGGTTAATCGTAAGGATCGTCGTTAATTAGAAGGACAGAAGTCCGACTAGTTAACAGGGGCTTTGCTCGTCGACGAAGTCGATGAGTAAAGATCGAGACTATAGGCTTATCCGCGAGGAGCAGATAAGAAGATAGAATATAGACTGCTGGCGAGGCAGAAGGATCACTCTGGTGAGAGTAGGAGGTCAAGAACCAAGTAGATTCAAGTTAGGGAATATGTTACATGGTAGCGAGTTTATATAGAGGACGGGACACATATTAGTGGATGATAACTCGTACTACCAAGAGAAGTAAACAGTAAAGGGTATAACCATAATAGGAAGGCACGTTCGAGGTGAGACATGGGTGAGTCCTGAACGTGCAGATAAGAAGTGAGTCAAAGATCAGAATAAGAAGTGAAACGCACAGGGGCACGATCATGCAACTGCGGAACTATGTATAAGTCGCATGTGCGACTGCGCACCGAGTCAGAGATCAAGAAAGGGAATAGGGCAAAGGGGATGCGTCGTGCATCATATCATAGGTTACTGTCCAGACGGTAAAGGCAAGGGGACTGTCCGCAGGATCAGTCAGGTGGTGGAATGGAGCATGGGTATGCTTCGTCAGCGAAAGGATCCGGCCAGATGTACTGGCTCTGCTGAAGCGACAGGTAGAGAGCGAAAGGGAATGCGAGGATGACGAGGATGACAAGGGTAAGGTTGGGGTAAGGGTATGATGCAAGGGCCGATACGAGGAGGATTAGGAGAAAAATGGTAGGGGCCCAAGCATCTAGATGTTCTTGTAACAATAGGAGGCGCATCGATTGAAGGACCACTGTCATCGTTACAAACATCCACTGACTCAGAAACCATGGTGAGTTGAGGAACAAAGCTCCAATGAGCTTGGAATGAGTTCCGCATTGCAAAATGGAGGGCAGCTTGACGGTATGCATACATGCGCAAACCCTCTTGCTCAGTGATCTTCTCCGATGGGTGCAGAACAGCGCGCTCATGCCACCAGTGGCCTTGCCACTCCAGAAAGGCAAGCACTCGTCACATTTCTTTGGCTAGTAACTCCACTTCCTCAGACCATGGAGCTGCGCGAGCGCATGCCTTACACCACTCTATGCGGACGCCTAAATCAAACTAAGTCAGAGATCATGTCACCCAGTTGAAACACTTACAGTCTTGAACACGCTCGTTCTCAGAGTGACTAGTAGTATCTCTGTCTGATACCAGCCAGATCCATGATATTGTTCTGGTACCCTGAGTATGGCCACCTGCAAAATCACCCATGGGTCGAACATCCTTGTGTCTGAGAGGTTGAAGTTTTTCCTCCCAGGCAACCTTATCCACACAAGAGCTTAGCGACTCCAGTGCTTGGCGTGTGCGTTTGTATTTGTCCGCTGCTGCATCTTTCTTTGCCTCGACACTTGCAATCAAATTCTGGGCACAGGTGGATGCTGCTTGGCCACGTAAGTGCTTGTCCTTAAATTTGTACATGTGCAAGCATAGACAAAGATGGGAGCGGAGTTTGTGGAGCGCATCATGAGCTTGTGCCCACCGAAGTTCCCACTCGTACTCCATCAAATGGCGATGGCACTGGTCGAAATAGCTGAGAGCTGATGGAAGATATAGTGGGAAGTCTTGAGGCTTGAGTGCTGCACTCAAACTTGTGTCAGCTGATGAATGTAGTGTTGAGACGATGGGCATGTAAAGTTGTTGATAACGCATCCAAGAATCAATACATCACTGTAACGCATTAGTCCTGTGAACAATGGCCTCTCGTTGTTTGTCTGTGGGATGAAGTGAGAGGTTTGCAATGTCACGTTTGAGCCGTTGTCTGTCATAACATGTGAACGGTGAATGTGATGCGAAGAGACACTTCACATACTGCATGTCTTCTAATTCAATACCACCGCTAATAAGCACACTGGGCGAGATGTCGACGTCGAGGAGTGATTGATCCCTTCCTGCAACTCTTTTGCTTCCAATTCTGCGAGCTGCGACCTTACCGCAGCCTGCATGATAGCTAGATATTTACCCATCAGCGCAAGTTGACAGAATGAATGGGCAGTGACTTACGAGCTACCTTATTCTCAAAAGGGTTTGGATGAGCATTGTCCTCCTCCCATAGCTGAACTTCTAACCCCCATTCTTCCAGTAGTGTAGGCCGAACAGTTGCTTCCAGGTCGTACAACGCAGCACGATGTTCCCGCTCCCATTTTATGGCCTCTTCCATCTTGTGCTTCAATGTACGACCTTTGAAGTATCAGCCAGGAAGATAATGATAATTATGCGAAAAACTCACCAAGCATCGTTGTCTTCTTCCAATTCCAATCGCCAAAGTGATCATCCAATGTATCACGTCGTGTTCCTGGCCCCATCTCCTTTGTGCTCGATGCAACGCGATTGGCATTTGCCCAACCTTGTTCCGGTGCCTCCCCGTCTGTCCTACCCACCCACTTAGTGAGGTTCCATGAGAAATTGACCTGACAGGCTGCGACATGGGCTGCAATGTGAAATTTTGGCACAAAGTACTGAACCAAGATGTTGTCAGTGTGGTATATGAAGGCGAGTCAGCATGCAATCCATTCTGTTCCACAGCTTTTTGGACCACTGACATGCGATATATGTACAAATATTCAGCATGGTCACCGTGAACCCGACCAGCATCGAGAATACAAGGTAATCCATATTCAGGTACCTTATAACTCTGTCAACTAGCTGAGTAGAAAAATGCGGCAAACATACCTTTCGCCCTTCTGAAGATCACCTACCCCATTCGGCAACTTGAATTCATGTCGAGTGCAGTCGACAGTTCCTATGCCGGTTGCTGCCAGGCCTTGTGAGGATTTGGTATCAGCCATGTTGACAGCGTTATGGCTGACACATGTGCTGCGCTAGTGGAACAGTAAGTGCATCACCCTACATATTAGAGTATGTACAACGTACATCTTGTCTTTCGTTAGCTCACTCCGATAAATAGGCCTTGTATGCTTTCTCCTCAACAAAGTAGGCCCATCCTGCGTTGAAGCCCGGATCCATTTTGTCGGAGGAGACAGCCTTCCATGTTGAGACAGAAATTCGCATCTATAGTAGATGAAAAGGGCATACAACCATCTGTCAACCAGGGTGAGCTAAATATCCTCACCCAACCATCAATCCAGACCTACCTCGTTCCTGGGGGCGAATTCTCCCAACCACTGGGTAAGTTTTTGCCCGGATGTGGGCACACCGGGCACATTACCGCAAGCTCGCTAGCTTTTGTTTCTGCAATGCCACCAGGGTCGTGACCTTGCCCACCGCGCCTGAGTTGTCGAAGGTGCCGCCATTCGTGGACAATCCGCATAAATGCAGAATAATGATCCTGCACGGCCCAAGTTTGAGTACCATTATGTTAGCATTTAAATTTGAGACTTACCCTGATGGGTAACAATCCACTATTGTCAGTGTGCCTGGCTAAACCATGGAAAAATTCGTAGGTGGAAATTTTAGACTCATATGAGAGAAGGTGGAAGTGTTCGAGCACGTTGAATGTAGCACCTGTTTGTGGGTCTATTGTAGTCGCTGGATACCATTGCGCTTGTAATAACTGTTTGTAGCGGACTTGTGCAGTCTCACAGCCACAAAAATCTAATCCAATTTCATGGATTCCGTTAATGTTGATGATGACAAAATCATCCCCCTTTGAGGGATGTGGGTTGTAACAGCGGTCACTGGGAGTATGGCCCAGTTGTACGTGCAAACCGAGGGTCTTGAGTTTGACACGTTGAAAAAACGAACTGTTCCACTCCTGTGTAGGGTTGGTACCATACAGATTGTATATCTAGGCAACACATACCTCAATGATATGCAATGGGCTGCATCAATGTTGGTTGACAACACAATACTGACAGGACATCTCCATCCCAAAGCAGTCCCTACAGCAGTACTTGGGTCCATCATTGCCGCAGTGGCAGTGCGTTCGCTGGGCTTCATGACCTATGGCCCTCCAAGAAGATGGTTTCATCAAGGAAGGATTGATGTTGGGGGAGCCAGACCAGGAGTGGATTATCCTACAAAAATTTGTGAGTATACTACAGAACATTCATATTCCTACACATCACTTACTGTGGGATGCTCTTTGCGCTTATCTGGAAGAATGTCTGGAGGATCATAACATGGAGGAACTTCATCCCAATCGTCATAGTTTGGCTGGTCCTGAATGGTATGAGGTACACATAGTGAACCACTGGAAGACGGCTCACTCTTGAGTGTGGCCTCGAGTGAAAGATAAGCTGTTTGTAGAGTAGTACGCCCATCAGTGAATGCATATTCCCGTATTTGCTGGACAGCCAGTGTTGACATGAAGGATGGTTGAACAAAACACTCAAATCGCGACTTGGGCTTCTTGTGCACCATGGCAGGGTACGATGGCAGCCTAGTGTGGAAATTTTCAACATGGCGAATCATTCTGAAAGTTACATGTAAGGCTTCCTCAACTTCAAATAGACCACACCACTTACTTTGTACCGCAGTAACCATACCATGAACACGCTGCATCAACAGTATTGATTCCAGTAAGTTGACAAGATACCATTATTGTGGGTGCCATTCTCTGGCCCAAACAGTTTGAGAGGGCGTGTTGGATGATGGGGCGAGTTCCAGCAAATGAAGACGGTATGGAGTATGGAGTTGTACCTTTGGCACCTGTAGAAAAAGCCACACATGATCCGTGAGGTTTGAGGCTGTGCTATTGAGCACTGTGTTTTTAATTTTATGAAGTTGTGATGGTATGGAGCATGGAAGTGTACCTTCAGCGCTTTTAGCAAAAGCCAAGCACGACGCATGAGGTTTGAGGCTGTGCTATTGAACTTGAGGCCAACACCGCATTTTTAATTATAACAGTACCTTGCAGATAGCGCACATTATGATGTTTCAACTGAGATAACAGAGAAGCAAATGTTTTTTATACTACACAAGTAAAAATTGAACTCGCAGACTCGCAGTAGATACATCAAATCCTGGTGCCTTTCTGGTACATTAACTCCCCCATAGAGTGAGCAAGTGTAAGGTCAGGAATTCCTCCATAAAGCACCAGAAATTGGATGTCCTCCAGATACGTGAGGACAGTCCTCAAAAAACGGCTGACAGAATCTGCGGCATGCCATTCAGGCAAGACTCCGCAAAAATTAAGGATTTGGTCTTGCGCGGCAGTAGTACGATTGAGTAATTTTTGGATGTCGGCCATTGGCATTTCGATGATGGAGATGTCGGCTTTGGTAGATGAGTTGTCCGGCATATTCTTAACATAGGCACATAAGATGCCATGGACGAAAGTGCAGGGGTCGTTGATCTTTGCCAACATCTCATCCTTGATCTCTTTGACGATGCGCAAGCATTCAGGAAGGTTATCTCTGTTGAACGTGTTTGATTTCATTTTAGACTATTTATAATATAAAGAACATATGGTTGACTTTCATCATCGTCCGAGTCCTGGGAATCCTTGCTGCCAGTGTTAGACTCAGACTCATCTTCATCACGACGCAGGGCTTTTGCAACAGCCTTTGACAGGTCTCTTGAGAATTTTCTGGCTTCTCGTGATTCCTTGCTGTTAGAGCTCCGTAGCTCTCTGCGGTTCTTCAAAATCCTGTCTCTGTTTCTTCACCACGATCGGTCAGGAACCGTCGGGAACATTTCATTAATTTAAAGTATGACATACCTAGCATAATAGCTCCTACGCTTTTCACGTGCAGCTGCTAATTTTGCCTCGGGTGTTTTATGAATGATTGGACGGGGCATGTTGACTAGTAGAGACTTGGTAGTAGTAGTAGTGGTCTTGGTTGAAAAAGAAGCAAAGAACCTTTGAAACCAAGACTCGGAGTCCAGTGGTAGGACCAAAACTTCAAGTTGTACATATGAATATCAACAATATCCACTAGGCTAGTGGTCATTTGCAGCAACTAAATATTCCTGTTCTGTAGGTAGAAGGGTGAACATTATTCAATAAGTGTTTTTGGGCTGCAGGCACACTTGCCATTCCAACAATAAATTTATCCTACTGCCATATCTACTGAATGAGTCCCTCATATCGTGGTCGGACCAAAACCATTCACGTGGTTCCATACACTCGAATCGAAATTTTCATTCTACATTACTCGTATACACTACAAAAAGCCCCACTCCAACATTAATCTCACTAATGGCACCACCAAGTAAATATTCAGCCGAGCAGATCGAGTTCATGGCAACATACCATGATCAATTCTTAGAGTGCAAATCAAACAAAAATTACGAACCTTTCTGGAGCCCATTTTTTGAGGCATGGGGAATCAAGTTCCCAGAGCGTGCTGTAGTCTTCAACAACATTCTACTTGATGTCGATTTAACTGACAAACAATCTGCTGAAGTGGCAACCACATGGGCATTGCGTCAACAGGTACGTATAGACTTACCCAACAATGTGTTGCTCAACTAACAACACATTAACAGCGCCTTATGCAGAAGTTCCGTAATGATCTGGGTGGCTCCAAAGCAGGTCAGCGGGCTAATGCACAGAGTACGGCCACAATCAACAAGATGCTGACGAATGTCTCGATGAGTTTAAAGGCGAAAAAATCTTCTCACATTTTGAAACCGTATGAGATGTACTCGAAAATGCACTATGGAAAAATCAAGGATGTTGTCAAAAAAGAGCAAGAAGAACTCAAAAACTTACCATCTGCTGCACCACCCAAGAAGACCAGTATCGGTGTCGTCAAGCGACATCTTAGAGAGGCCTTCAGCAATGAGTCTGAAGAAGTTAAGGCAGAGGTGCTTGCCGCTGTTGAGGCAATGAAAGATAAGAAGCGTGCGGAAATAGAGGAAATGAAGAAACAAACTCACGATAAGGATGTGTAAGTCATTTTCTTCATCTCTGCAAACTGTTGTTCCCTTACATATAGCATGCCTAGCTATACATCCAAAATTGCGACAATTCTGACGCAATTCTTCGAAGAATTACATGAGATGACAGATTGGGCATTCACAGTCCTCATGGGCGGGCCACAGCCTAATATGGGTGGGACACTTGATGTTAGTAGCTTCCACATTGGAGAAACGCAAATGGGCAACCGGTTCAGTCAAGCCTACCCACATTTTTCACAAAATATCATGGTGCCTTACATGCAGTTTGTTGAACGTGTTTTTTGTAAGTCGGAGCTCATACACCATGCAGAATACCACTAAACACCTCTTCAATTCAACAACTGAGGCAGCTGCACTGTTGAGAACAAAAGGCTTGCTGCCTGGTTCTACTACGTCATCCACTCTGGCTATCACCCCTGGACCCTCATCTGCTCCTCATATAGTAGCCTCTGATACATCACCACCTATCCCTTCAAACACCGCAGTTTCAACTTCCAGATCTGATCTGTTGCTTGCATCGGAGCTTCTCTCTCTCCCTCAAGGCAACAATGCCTTTCATTTCTTCTCTGACACTGATTTATCCCTGTCGCCAATGGATGACAACTCTTCACTTCCCACTATTCCCACCCTTCCCATCCTCCTGCAACCTCACGACACCCGGTCATCAATGGATGGCACCTCATCACTTCCCAATCTTCCCATCCTCCCGCAACCTCACGACATGATGTACAGTTTGAGGGAGTTTTTGCAGGACCCGCCGTCTCATGAACACATGCCTGAACATTATCAACTCCCAAATATGCCAGTTCCAAATTTAACTGGCGCTGGCGATGCCTTCAACCCAAACCAGGTGGTAGCGCAGCCCAATCCTTATTACCCAACTGAGCCCACCTTCTGTTACGACTTGGATGGTATCTGTTGGCGACGCTCAAACAGAGCGTGTGTCATCAATGGTCGAGGACGTCCTTGGGCTAGCCCAAGGTTAGGGGTCTTACTTGGCGAGGCTCGGCAAGTAAGATTTGACGCCTATGTCCAAATCGGGTAGCTTACGTCAAGCGGGTGCTAGACGATAAGCTGTATCTGCCAAGGCTTACAACACCCGAAGGTTAATCGTAAGATCGTCGTTAATTAGAAGGACAGAAGTCCGACTAGTTAACAGGGGCTTTGCTTGTCGACAAAGTCAATGAGTAAAGATCAAGACTAAGGACTTATCTGCGATGAGCAGATAAGAAGATAGAATATAGACTGCTGGCTAGGCAGAAGGAATCACTCTTGTGAGAGTAGGAGGTTGTTACAAGAACATCTAGACACTTGGGCCCCTACCATTTTTCTCCTCATCCTTCTGGTATCAGCCCTCGCATCATACCCTTACCCCGACCTCATCCTTGTTATCCTTGTCATCCTCGCATTCCCTTTCGCTCTCTACCTGTCGCTTCAGCAGAGCCAGTACATCTGGCCAGATCCTTTCGCTGACGAAGCATACCCATGCTCCGTTCCACCACCTGACTGATCCTGTGGACAGTCCCCTTGCCCTTACCGTCCGGACGGTAACCTATGATATGATGCACGACGCATCCCCTTTGCCCTTTTCCCTTTCTTGATCTCTGACTCAGTGCGCAGTCACACATGCGACTTATACTTAGCTCTGCAGCTGCACGATCGTGCCCCTGCGCGTTTCACTTCTTATTTCGACCTTTGACTCACTTTCTTATCAAGCACGTTCTGGCTCACCCGTGTCTCAACCCGAACGTGCTTTCCTTTTATGGTTATACCCTTTACCATTTGCCTCTCTTGGTAGTACGAGTTATCACCCACTAATACGCCTCCTGTCCTCTATATAAACTCGCTACCATGTACTATATTCCCTAACTTGAATCTACTTGGTTCTTGACCTCCTACTCTCACCAGAGTGATCCCTTCTGCCTAGCCAGCAGTCTATATTCTATCTTCTTATCTGCTCTTCGCGGATAAGCCTATAGTCTTGATCTTTACTCATCGACTTTGTCGACAAGCAAAGCCCCTGTTAACTAGTCGGACTTCCATCCTTCTAATTAATGACGATCTTACGATTAACCTTCGGGTGTCATAAGCCTTGGCAGATACAGCTCATCATCTAGCACCTGCTTGACGTAAGCTACCCGATTTGGACATAGGCGTCAAATATTACTTGCTGAAGCCTCGCCAAGTAAGACCCCTAACCTTGGGCTAGCCCAAGGACGTCCTCGACCGTTGACGACACATGCTCTGTTTGAGCGTCGCCAACAGATACCATCCAAGTCGTAACAGAGGTCAAGAACCAAGTAGATTCAAGTTAAGGAATATGGTACATGATAGCGAGTTTATATAGAGGACAGGACACATATTAGTGGGTGATAACTCGTACTACCAAGAGAGGTAATCGGTAAAGGGTAAGACTATAAAAGGAAAGCACGTTCGAGGTAAGACACAAGTGAACATGAACGTGCAGATAAGAAAGTGAGTCAGAGATCAAAATAAGAAGTGAAACGCGCAGGGGCACGACCATGCAACTGCAGAGCTAAGTATAAGTACACATGTGCGACTGCGCACCAAGTCATAGATCGAAAAAGGGAACTGGGAAAAGGGGATGCAGCGTGTGTCATATCATAGGTTACCGTCCGGACGGTAAGGGCAAAGGGACTGTTCATAGGATCAGTCAGGTGGTGGGACGGAGCACGGGTATGCTTCGTCAGCAAAAGGGTCTGGCCAGATGTACTGGTTCTGTTGAAGCGACAGGTAGAGAGCAAAAGGAAATGCAAGGATGACGAGGATAACAAGGGCGAGGTCGGGGTAAGGGTGTGATGCGAGGGCTGATACGAGGAGGATGAGGAGAAAAATGGTAGGGGCCCAAGCATCTAGATGTTCTTGTAACACCTTCATATTTACACCCACCCAATCTTTTGCAGGTGGATCCTCTTCTTTTGCGCGTCTTAATCAATCCCCACCCACTATAGAGGCTTCACCCATTGCCCCGCGTCTCAATCAATCCCCACCTGCTGCAGAAGCAGCTTCACCCATTGCCCCAGCCAGTACTGGTGGTGAGAAGCACAGATGCGAACCATGTGAAGGGGAGCAGTCGGATGTCCCCACAAAATGTCAGAAGGCTAAGGATGGCACCAGACACCGCACCGCTAGTGAAACCATGCCCACAAATCTTCAAGATGGTCGAGGTAAACGTCAATGAGTCCAATCAAAGCGTGCCGCAGAAGCTAACAACATCGGTGGACCATTCGTGAGTCGGAAGGCTGCACGTAAATGAGTAGTGTCTCCATCATTCTTGTAATTCACTTAGTTTAGCATACATCTTACACATCATGTTGCACAGTATACCACAATAAATTGATTTAATGTCTTAAAACATGTGTGATCGGGTGACAAGGGTAGCTAACAATGGCTTAAAAGCAATTTCAACGCGCTGTTGAACTTACGCACTAGCGCAAACCTTCGACGCTCAAGTAATATCATCCTTGGGTAGACTGCTTTGTGGGACTTAGAGGAATTTTGATATCTTGGGCCAAATTCAGCAAACACAGATCACACAACCTACCGATCGGCTTCGTCACCAAGTAATATCATCTTTGGATAGACTCCTTTGCGGGACTTAGAGGAATTTTGATATCTTGGGCCAAATTCAGCAAACACAGATCACACAACCTACCAATCGGACTCATCCATCAAAAGAATCTCACAATCCAGGCCCAGCTATCAAGCAGAAGCAAGAAGAAGCAAGAAGAAGTGTGATGCCATCAAACGAAGGCTAGGTACCAGGTCCAGAGAACCGTGGATTGAGTGCCGGACCAGGGATCCTCCACTAATGTATCAGCCCTACAATGGTAGATGATCTATGGGCTTCAGTGATTATTGTATCTGGCTTGACCTACTATAGTAGTCATTTAATGTATCATTCTTACAGTATGGCCTGCCTGCCTGTATAAGGGTCCACAAGCTCCCCAAGTTGTCACAAGGCAGCACAAGTGTTGTGTGATGCTGTTATGCGCACATACTCTATGAGATTCATGTCAGTCCGAGTCAGTTGTGCGGTCCATGTACCACCATGTGGTGCCTGGTGACCCATATATGCATTGGGTGGCTTATATTTATTGGGCAGCTTGCATGGACTGCTGAGGTCTGGACCAGCATTATATAGTCATGTTATTGTAGCTACTAGTCTTAGATCACACTTGAATGGAACTCAAATGATATGATAATTGTTCAAGTACTATAGGACATTGAGGCTAGCAACACATGACGAAAATGAAAAAACCACAAGGGAGAGCTTGTGACTGCATATCATCGCCATTGTGATTTTTCCTTGCCACGACCACGGGCACCGCCTCAAGGCACTGGCGCTGCTTGTTTGGTTTTGTGTCCAACAGGTGCAGCAGTTGTCGGAGGTTCACTCAAAGGAGAAGGTTCACGTTGAGGTCCAGGAGGTGCTGAGGAGCCAGTGTGAGGAGGTGCTGGGGAGCCGGTGCAAGGAAGTGCTGGGGAACTGCCAGATATTGGCCCGGGGGAGCTGCGAGGAGGTGTAGGAGGGGGAGGACCACCAAGATTGCTCTGATTTGGAGTGCAAGAACCTAGTAGTAGATTACATTAACACAAAATAATGAAGACAAGGGGGGGGGAATGTTACCACCTGCCGCCAATTCGCCGTTGTTAAGGGGTCACGTGCCATGTGTTTCATTTTCCTCATCATGCTGGTTAGCAGAAGCTGTGTCGTCGCCAAAAAAGTCATCCATGTCGTCATCGGTACCAGAGTTGTTGGTTGCAGCAACTCTGCGTCGCTTGGAGGGACGGTTGTCGATCAGGCCAGGAGTTTCACTGTGTGGGTCATCATCTAAGGTAATACAAAAAACAGTGCACTTACTCCTTCCAGAATTTCATCAAATCTTTGACCCACTGCTGCTCAGTGTTATCGTGGACAATGTCGATGGCTCTATAGTATAGGTCACCAAGGTCCATGGCCCCAATGGCAGGCATCCACGACTCTGCATTGCTGGCTGCGAAATACATCTGATGTGCAATATTCAGATGTAGTAGATAATTAAATAGAATCACGTACCTGGCACGCAGCATACATTATGTTTCTGATCCCTGGTTTGGCAAGGTGATGCATTTTGCCCTTCCCAGGCTTTGATGAGTGACCGATGTTGTCTTTGGATAGAGCCGACATAGGACCTGTAAAGATATGGCACCATGCCTAGAATGAGGGAGGTCAAAGCACGGTTCTGCTAGTTCAAAAATGTTACCTGTATCACCACACAACTTCGGAGGAATCCCTTCTTCTTGTTCTTTGGGTCGTACAAGCTCATGTCATAGAACATTGATGGCCACTGCTTTGCGCTGATCTTCTTCTCCCCTGCATTGACCTTGTCCATATAAGCTCTGAAGCATGTTAGTGTCAGTTTCAATCAAGTACAAGTACATACTGTGGGTCCATGTCAAATTCAGTAATATCCCGTGCAGGACATAAGAGTCATGCAGTCTGTGGGTGGTTCCACCCTCGCAAGGCCTTACTGTGAGACTTGAGTATCGGTGGGTTGAAACGATCCTTGGCGGGGTCACTGAGTATGTACTGAAGCCCAGTATGCTTGAGAGACCCCATATCATCACAACGAGCCGCATTCACTGCACTTTCCATCTATCAAATGTCAGTGTATGCTAAAATAGCACATATATGCACTTACCGACTTGAGGAAACTCATTAGTGACTCTGGTTCTCGTTCAAGTTTTGCAATGAGGCCACTGAAATTCAGAATCAATTTTGCGAATGTCGTAAACAGATGAATGTTGGCTCATGTTCTGCAACAGATGAACCATTAGCTAATAATGGCTAGTTGGAATGAAAACAAACTCTTATTATAGGTTAATTTTCACTTATGCACCTGGGAGGTGCTGGCTGCACTGGAGGTCGGCGCGCCAGCACCTATGATCTGGCGTATATACATATTTATTCATTTATTCTTGTCTCAGGCGCCCTCATGGGGTGCCAGTACCTTGCAGGTGTAAATCCCTAACTAGGCGTCCACATGAGGGAGGTGATACCTTGAAGGTGTGTATCCCTAACCCTACCCTAGTCACAATGCGCTCACTGACATTGTAGCCATGTTATACCACGGCACGAAACTTGCACAGTCGCCTCCTGTGTCATCAACCACGCGCTCGCGCTCTCCTGATATACTCTCCTCGTTGCATACAATGTCAAGCAGCTTAGCCCCACACTCATTCTCACAGCTGGCATTGGCGTCATCGCTGCATTCTCTTTACATGTCGTCCCACAGTGTTTCACCTCCCGCATTTATGGGGGAGCGCATGCGCCGCATCAGACATTCTCACCTGCCCTTACATATTCACCTGCCCTCGCATTCTCACCCAACCTCACATTCTCACCCACCCTCACAACGTTCTTCTCAGCTGAACACAATGGTCCAACGCTAGGGCCATTATCCCTAAATGTCAGTTCAATGGGGAGGTTGCCGCTGAGGCATTCATCTGCTTGTGGACCAAGCTTGACCATAACATCAGGTCACCAACAAAATGGAGACTGGGCCTTACTTGCCTTCAAGTAATCATTGGTCCAGCCAGACGCAGAAGCCTCTCGTGCGATCGCAAAAATATCAGCGCCTAGCATCGCACTTATTATACGGTCGCCATCTACTCCCTTGCCCACCCCAAACAATGACAATTGGTCATGCCCACTCTCACAAACCTTCGCCTGGTTCCAACCCGCGTATACATCTTTGAAATGTCCGAGGACGATCCTATCCATGGAGGCATACACAGGCGCGTTCATGAACGTTCTACTCCAGAACCTGCAGAGCAACATTTTTAACTGCAATGTCAAGATACCAATACTATCATGCTTTGGCGATATCGCACTTGCAATTGAACCTGCTTTTGATCCTTATTTGAATATGGCTATGGATGTGCTTGTAATATATGATTTATTGAATCCAATCGAGTGATCTTGTCTGCAGCATGTCTGTAAGTTCCAATGATCTTGTCTGCAGTGTGTCTGCAAGTTAATAATATCAGTCAATTGCAGTTTGAAACATGACAGATGGTCAGACCGTGTCCCTATCAAGCGCTCACCTGTGATATAAGTATCAGACTGCTATTGATAAGCCCCTTGATTGTACGTCCATCATGGTCAGCTACCCATGTTCTGTTTGCAGAGCTACCTTTGACAGTGCATGGGGCCTTTCAAATCACAAACGCGGCAAGTGTGCACAGAAGGAGGCAGGGTCAATAACATCTATAATCGAAAAGTGGCATCAGGATCGGGAGAGGCAGCTTGCTGCCAAGGTACAAAGGCTAGATGATGAAGATGCCACAATCAGGGCATGGGAGGCAATCTGCCAGCAGAGTGCAGAAGCACTGGATGACAATGAGATACCTGTATGTCTCTACATCACTTACACTCATTCAGGCCTGTAATTTACCACTTGATACTAGGATTTCTGGGAGCCAACCCCACCGCCCCTAGTTCGCACATCTGGATTACTGAATCGTGCTCGTCGACTGCCCAAACGTTACCAGGACATCCTCCCTCCATTACCTGTCCTTCCCCAACCACCACAGGTGCCTACCGCTTCTCCCCCACAATCTTTGCCCACCAGTTCTCTGTCACATTCTCCAACACTGCTGCAGCCATGTATTACACAACCTGACCACTATGGGCTCTTCCAAACATATCCAAACTCATTCCCATTGTACAACCCTGACGAAATTACCTCCCTTGCCCACCTTTCTGACTCAACACACTTCGCAAGTGCACAGCAGCCAGCAGCAGGTAGGCCCTGGTGGTCTGGTTTTGGCACTTCAATGAAAACACCGACAGAGAATTTCTTCGTACCATTTCTGAATGCAACTATATATCGCTTAATGTGTTGGTTTCATGGAGGATCAACTATGAAATCCCTCACTGAACTCGATCGCCTCGTCAACAAAGTCATCCTCGCAGAGGATTTTGATAAGGCAGATCTGCAAGGATTTCAAGCTTCGAAGGAACTGGAACACCTGGATAATTATCAGGGTGATCCAGAGGACATATGTTCATCATTTTCAACAGCTGGTGGATGGATAGAGACATCGGTCAAGATCCGATTGCCTGCTGATGGTGTTGAGCATCCTTCAGAGGAATGTGCCCCTGAATTCAATGTACCAGGACTCTTCTACCGCCGTCCATTAGAGGTCCTCAAAACTGCCTTTCGTGAAGCTTCAGCTGAACAGTTTCATCTCACACCATTTGAAACCTCCTTCCAAGCATCGCCCAATGAACCTGCAGAGCATGTGTACTCAGAACTGTACATGTCCCCAGCTATGATCAATGAGCATCACAAGATTGCATCTACACCTAGAGTTGATGGCTGTACCCTCGAGACGGTAGTTGCCTCAATCATGCTGTGGTCGGATTCAACACACCTCGCTAGTTTTGCACCACATTGTTGTGGCCCATATATATGTATTTTGGGAATCAGTCAAAATATGTTCGGGGCAAGCCATCGTGCTTCGCTGTGCACCATCTTGCCTATATTCCTAAAGTGAGTTTATGGCAAGATGCCGTGTATTGCTCACTGACAACCTTTTAATAGCTTACAGATACGATCCAGGATTTTTATCAGCAAGCATTCAAAAAACCTGCAACTGCGGAGGTCTTGATGCACTGCTGACATGAACTTATGCAAGCCATCTGGCTGCTCCTCATGGACGATGACTTCATGCATACCTACGAGTTTGGAATTGTCATCAAATTTCTCGATGGTATCTGTCAGTGAGTCTTTCCCCGGTTTTTTACTTATTCTGCAGACTACCCCAAAAAGTGAGTCACAGAATCTTCACCAGCTTGAATCTCATATTGACTTCGCGCACTCTGCAGAACACTTCTGGCCTGTATCAAGTTTCTGGCGAAATGTCCTTGCCCTCGATGTTTAATCCAAAGGACAAGATTGGGGCTCTTGCACCCTTGGCACCACTTGGTAAAGGTACCGAGGGCCTTTCAGGCTAGGTTCCGTTGTAGGTCGTTACCTGCCTGAAAGCCTACCTCCACAGCGCGGACTGTGGTGCATTTTGTAGAGCCTCCAGCGAGGAGGAGCCAGGAGGAGGTTACATTACAGAGGGAGGCTCGAGAGGCTCAGGCTCACGGAGATTAGTGATAAGTATATGTAACATACCATTGTAATTCCAAGTACATGACATGCCAGACATCCTCCGAGTCGATAACGCCTTCCCTCCACTTCAATAGTATGCTGGCTGGCGCGGGATAAACTCAAGAAATCCATCTACTGCGAAGCTCAAACATCGATGACGTGGCAAGAAGAAGCGCACCTTTTTCGAGGAGCTAACATGTTTTCCTGCTCCTCGCGAGGCATTTTTATTTGACCTTTTGTGAAATTCATAACATAGAACACACAACATGAACTTTGTATTCAATTCAATGCTACGAATACGCGAATACAAGTAGGAGGGCAAGAAGCAAGAACATGGTCCCAAGAAACAGGGAAGACAAACCAAGGTAATGCTCTAATTGCCTTCAGACTGAGGGGGAGACGACGAGTACTGCATAAGACCAGGTAGCGGGCTCATTGAATTAGCGCGAATCATCCGTCCATCCTCAGGATATGCAGCATAACGGGGCCAGTTTTGACGAAGATCAAGTCCATCATGACACAGGGCTGGACCTTGATAATGATCATAGATCACCCGGCCATCACGGTATCCTGAGTATTCCTGGCGAGGAGCAGGTACACGACCATCGTGCACGTCCCTTCCTCCATGGTATGCTCCAGTCCCTTGCTCATATGAATCTGAGCGCGTAGGATAGTAGGGGTGATGAGGAGGGGGCGGAGGATATGTGTACATGGTGTTGCGAGCATCCATGGAATGTTGAGGCTGACGAGCTGCATTGACACCAGGGGCATAATTCACACCGCTAGACAGATGCCGTTGAGTCATGGGCTGGTACTCCGTAGAACCACGAGATGGTGGCAAACTTCTATCGCTAATGTTTTGCTGCCCATTAGGTTGGGCAGTTGTGCTGTGCTGATCATGGGGTGCTGGAAGAAGTGAGCGCGGTTGCTCTCGACTCTGAGGGGATGGGGATGAAGGTGTGGGTGAAGGCACCTGCAAATGGTTGCTGGCCTGCATGGGCTGCGTGAACGTGTCCTCCATCTTCCCCCTCAAAGGTAAATCCCATCTAGAGGTTCTGGGGCCTCTGGGTCCTCCTTGCTGTGCAACCTGGGCTGTATCACAGCTTCCTCGTGGGGCATCTGGAGCTCCTTGCAAGGCATCGGAGCCTCCTTGCAGCACCTCCTGGGAGGTGTCGAGACTTCCTTGTCGTGCATCCTGGGTGGTGTTGGAACCTCCTGGTGCGTGCGGTTGACGCTTGCCTTCTGAGTATAGCGCAGCTTGGCGTGCACTTTCAGATGATCCTGGAACGACTTGTTTGGGTTTTGGAAGTTCTACAAAATCATAAGCGCTGTTCCTGGTGGTGAAACCAACGTAGTACTTACCGCGTTGAGTGCGTGGTTGCAATGAGTCCTGTGGGCCACCACGAAGACGTAAAGCTTTATGTCCTGGAAGGAGGGTTATTACATCTCATATAGTGCAAGGGACTTTGCTCACCATCCTCTTCAGTGTCTGATTCAGCTGCGACAGAGACATAGCGCACTCTCTTTGCGATCTTCTGCTCCTTGCCAGTATCCTGGTCAACCACTTTGCCCTCGCCCTTGACAGCTTTTCTCCCCTCGCGAGGCGGTTCAACAGCTTGAACGTCGCTTCTGCGAGCGATGGCCTCTGGTTCCCTTCACCTTGCATTTACGAGAGGTGGCGACTTCATCTTCATACTCTGAGTCTTCACTCTCAAGGGCGTCTTTGTCCTCCTTGAACTCATCCTCGGCATCCGACTCCGAGCTGACCTGTACATCGCTGGACAAGTCGACGGGAACGACCTCGCGTGCGGGTTTCTTTCCCTTTGAAGCCTTCAATGGACGTGGAGGAGGACGATTCCGGATCTCAACAATTGGGACAAGCTTCTGCTTAGGGATTGATTGGGATTGTGGAGGCGTGTCGTCAACGAGAATGGGGGATGCACGATGGCCTTCCTTGCGTGTTGAGGGCTTCAGCTTCTTGAGCTTTGTGCTTGCTGCACTTGGTCCACGACGAGCGATTCCCTGACGGTCGATGGTGCCATCAACAAGCATGCGACGACCATGCGAATGTAAGGAATCTTCAGGAGGGGCCTCACCGAATATAATGGGGGATTTTTGGTCTATAAAATGATTAGCTAGCCGTATTGGAAGTGAATTGATTTGCACGTACCCAAGTCTCCATTTTTTTGTCGTTCGATGGTCAATCTGCCTGATCGCAAGGCATCCGCAAGTATGACACACTCACGTTTATCAAGGTCGCTGATGCCTTTGGGTCGTGCAACCGTTACACGTGGCTCTCCCGGCATCAACATGTCTTCAGGATACCCTTTCATCACAAACCGGTGACGCGCCAGCTCGGCAGGCAATAGTTTCCATGGGAAAGTTCCTGACCGTGCTGTTAATTTCCCGCCGAGGTTACTGAACATTGAGGTTATGCCGACTTTGATGCATTGTATGTGGTCGGCCAGTGTCTTCCAATCGACATTGTTGGGAACCTCCTGTACCTCGTCATCACCTTCTATTACCCCTGGCGTGCGCGTGCGCCGCCCAGGCAGTGCTATATCCTTTTTGGAAGGTTGAAGTCTGCCGTCACCGTAAATGTCCTCAACAACGGCAAGAGAAGCCAGGTGGCTGGAAAAACATCAGTTGAAGTATTGAGACAAGAAAATATAATTGACTTACTATACATGGGCCTTAAAATGTCCCACCATCGTGTTCTCATCGGCACGACAGCGGGAAGCCCAAAACTAAAAGAACACGCAGTCAGCAAGGCCTTTGGTACACTGATGGCTCGAATTTACCTCTTCTGCACCAGGGGTCGTGTGTATGTAGCCAATTGACGCATCTTGATTCACAACCTTCCCGCACATAAGCAGCGCTGCTTCGAAGCCATGCTTTGCGGTGGCCAGATCCAGCTGGATGCTCCATTAGCGCATAAAAATTAAGTACACAATGTAAGACTTACCATGGATGTCACTTTCTTTGTCAACCTCGTGAATTCTTGTGACCGCTGTGCAACAGTCAGAGGCAGGCCTGAAGCGATCTGTGTCTCGTCGAATGTGTCGAGGATGTCTTGCCAATCCTCAGGATATGCGTCCTGGAAGGACCTATAACATTCACCTTGGATGGTCGATGTGACTGCATCCCAACATGAGTCATAACCACTGAACTACAAAAACAGACTTACTGATAATATTCGCATCTTTGCCAGCTCGCTGTAGCTCGCGCAGGCGGTGGGCTTTGAAGTATTGCCCGTAGATGTTCCAGTGATTTGTTCCATTATTGACGCGGCCACGAGACTTGAGAAATAGATTCAAAACTTGCTGCATTGGCATGCCAGTCGAGACTACAAGCTCATTGATGGCGCAATCAATGAGGTCGAACTGTTTTTCCATTGCAGCATTGGCATCTTCTGACCTCCGACCAACGACGGCGGCACCTGAAGGCCCTCCCTGGGTGTCCATCGCGAGGTTTCCCATCATGACAGGGTTGGCGGGAGGGGGAGGGATGACACCGGTGTCCATTGTGAGGTTCCCCATCATGACAGGGTTGACGGGAGTGGGAGGGATGACACGGGTGGCAGGAATATTGAGTCCAGTTGGGAGTGGAACATGCGGAGGCGTATTATGTTCTGGTAGATGACTCTCGTGCGGTATGAAAAGGTTGTTCGGCTGCATGACGTCGAACGATCCTCCAGCTATAGAGTCCCAGGATGGGGCGGGGACATCGAGCGACGAGAAGTTGTAGGCATCTTGTTCACCGCTGCGGATGGGCAGATCTTGTTGGGTCTGTCCCGACATAGTGATCAGGGTTGGCTGAGGCAGTATCGCATCACAGGGTGCTGTGAACACTTCCTGCATGAAGTGAGGCTTGCGAGGTCCCACAGGCGACCGCTCGCGTGACACACTGCATCTAGAAAATTCGAAAGAGCTGCCTGGAGGTACCCCTCCAGGCACTTCCAGCCGACCTTGGGAAGAATCACCAGAGAAGTGTTCTAAGTGAGAACTCGGCACACCATCTGGTGCATGGCCATCAGAGCCATTGTCTGGAACCAGTTTCGCTCTATTGCGGGCGCTTTTTCGAACAAGACCACCGTCGCGTGAGGTGGGTCTTATGCGAGTGCGAAGTTTGGTGGGGGTTTGGACAGGGGGGGGCGATTTTTGACGCCCTCCTCCGATTTGCTCAGAGTGAGGTTCTAAAGCTGTGAAAGAGGGCGTTGAGGAGTGCGCCAAATTTTCTGGCAGATATTCTTCATTCATTTCTACATTAGAAACACAGTCAGACTGACTATGGCAGATTATGAACATGCAAACTTACTTGGGAGAGGAGCAAAAGACGCAAGATATATATGATGGGTGATAGACTAACACAAGGCTAGTCCGCGTTTAAAATGAGTCAGTGATAAATGGTCCAGTTCAAGATGAATTCACCTTCGTCTAAGCAAATACTAGCAAGTCTCGAGGGCAACGTTGATCCTACTGACGGCAATACGAGCGGGAGGAAACAGGTGTGAAAAAGTGCATGCGATGCTTTCGTGCCTTTCATATTTCTGGGAGAGTAGCAGCTCGCATTCCATAGGGATTCACTGACAGAACATCACTAGGATAGAAGATCGACGGCGATTCACTGCGTACCTGTGTGGCATAACACGAGTACACTCCTCCAGGAAGGCTCAAGAGGCTCGAGAGACCATGGAAATTGCTAAATGATGAGGGATCCTCCAAGGAGGCGCTGGAGCACCTGAGGGCGCAGGAGGTTTGACACGAGGTTGCCGCAAATATGTATGCAGGCTGGTTTCATTGGGAAATACATATGATAACTACTTTACTCATCGAAGGCCCAGGGTTCCACCATCTTAATTCGTCCTTCATCGATGGCAATCCTGACTTTTTCCTCCCCAATAGCAATAGACTCAACCTCATGGTAAACAGCACCAGCGACACCAAGAACGCAATTGAGTGCATTCTCCCTAGTGTAAAAATGATCAAATACGACAAGCGCCTGGAATGAAACTGTGCTCACCAGCCTGCCACGACACCAATGTGAGACCCGCGGGTGACATAGAACATGCTTTGAGAGGGTTTGACCTGTACTGGAATATTATAACAGTTTAGCGAGAAGGATACACGTGTTGATTGACTCACCTGGAATGTTATAGAAAACAGCCTTGTAGACGTGAAGGACAGAGTCGTCCGCCCTCGATCTCACAGCATTCTCGAATTCTGGATGGTTGTGATTGATTATGGTGAACTCTGGGCTTGCCGTGGAGAGTGCGCGATTGACAAAGACGACTGGAGCTGAAGACAAGGTGAAGACACGCTCGATGAAAAATGGTTCGGTCACCGACGACATGGTTGCTGGGGGAAAAATTGTGAGAATTAGTGGAGTACGCTCAAAGGTTGAAAAGGCTCATCTGATAAGAAGTGGAAGATACCTACAATCGCATTCAACTTGCCAAAAAGGGTGGCATATGCATAGTGCTTGCTGGACGTTTCTGAAAAACAATTCAGAAGTTGAAAAAAGCCCTGTGTTGACCAAAACGAGTGGAAAGGAGAATGTATCGAGACGAAATGCATGAATATAAGCCTTAGATACGGATCCTCTTCTGGTACATCAGCTCACCCATTGAGTGAGCAACCGTCAACTCAGTGAGTCCTTCAATGTCCAAAAAATACTGGACATCATCTATATAAGCGAGTGTAGTGCTTAAGAACCGGGAGACTGATTCAGTAGCGCGAGATTCTGTCGAGACTCCACAGAAAATCATGATTTGATCCTGCACTCGAGTTGCACGGCGGAGTAAGTGTTCGACCTCTGTTTTTGCATTTTGAATGATTGAGGTGTCGCCCTTGCCATGCACTTCATCTGGCAAGCTTTTGACGTACTGAAGGAGGAGACTCTCTGTAAATGCGCAGGGTTCTCCAATTAGCATCAACATCTCGTCCTTGATGCTTTTGAAAGCGAGCAGGCACGATGGGAGATCTATTGATCTGTAGATATTTAAATTATATTTCGCTATTTATAAAATAATTAAAAAAATGACATACAGTGCGTCATTCTCGTCATCACTCGTCTCTGGCTCAGATAGATCTTCATCGTAGCCTAAGGCTACAGCGAGTGCTCTTTGAATCTCCTGTACCTCCTGCGATGGCTTTGTGAGGCGAAGCCCTCGTCGCCTACTCAATATACCGTCTCTGTGTCTTTGTACGTCAGTTGAACTGCCGTCTGTGAAAGACAATAAATAAAATTCAAACTTACTTTGCGTAATGATGTCGGCGTGTCTCTTGACTCGCTTCAAATTTTTTTTGTTCTGTTTTATGAACGGGGGGACGCAGCATGATGATCGTGCAGACTGGGAAAATAGACGAGTGAGCAAGGATATGTGAGACCAGCAGAGGGATGTATACCAGTGGATGGTCCATCGCGGATCCATTAAATGGCAGCCTGAGGGCCTGGATACGAGACCCAGAAAGGGATAGAAGTTTCGGATCCTCCAACTCAGGTGGGAGGCGCTAGAGGCGCTGGCTGGTGCATCACGGCAAGGGTCAGATGGTGGACAGTAGTTGGGTAGAGGGAGGGTGAATGTGTAGGGACAGGAACGGCCAGATATCGTCAATTGCTCCTAGTAGACACAGTCAAGAAAATAAATGGACTAACTCACCTGTGATGTTTTCGATTTCTTACAAGAGCGCTGATGGATCTCGATGGATCTCGATGGATCCGCTAGGTACATAAGTCAAATTCGAACCTTGACGAAATGGGGAGTTTAGCACATGCGGCTTGATTAGCCAATAGGCATTCAGATACAGTTCAAGACCAATGAAAAACATATCCCAACCACGCTAGTCTTCGCGTAGACTTTGCGGATAGTGGTTTTTAAATTCTTCGTTTTTTGCCGGTTCGATTGGTACCAAAATTTCCCAATGTTTGAGTGAAGGAGGTCCGTCCGTAGAATAAGTAGCTAATTGTGTGCATGTGTTCATTCAGCCTTTGCATCTCTCTACTGTCATTATGGGTCAAAAAGCCAAATATCTAACGTTGGCAGAAAAAACAGCTGCATTGCACAGACAAAAGGCGAACTATGCACAGTCTGAGAGGTATGTTTACACCACACTGCACATGGCATTCTTAACCCTCACATTGTCATTGGCAGGGGGAAAGCTACTCGTCGACTTCGACGTTCTCAAAACTATGCCAAAGCACACAGTCGCAAAGGCTCGTCAAAGCCACCCCTAGCATCATCCCGGCTTCCACCCCTGCCTCGAGTTCTCATCAATCTAGCAAACACCTCCCTTCCGGACAGTGATCTATTTCATTGCGCTTCCCAAAGTGCTGACAACCTCGATGAATCGGAGCTCCCACAGTGGGACAATAATCCCCCCTATGCTATGCCTCCTCCATCCGACACTCCAGCAGAGGTTCGATTCACAGAAAACCTTGTGCAGGTCATGCACGGCCGTAACTCACACTTAGAGAAGGAGCAGCTACAACAACGTGCACGGAAGTACAATGCAGGAGGGCCAGATCTTTGTACAGAGTTGAAACATGCTATTGGCGTGCTGCTGGGAGAGTGGTACATATTGCAAGACTATATCTCTGACGCAAGGGACTGTGATAGACACATCAAGATGGCCCAATGTCTCTTGCAATGGCGTGCACGCAGGATTTATTTCTATCACACTGAGGTTGAGAAGATGTTAAATGGACTTGATCCATATATTTATTTACACATTAATACGACAAGTGTATGAAGGTAGTGACGAAATGCAGACATATGGTCTTCTTTCAAACCCGTACAATGGCATCCATGCAAAGTTGCTGTGATCATTGCAAGCACCCATATGCCACAGTCATAGCCATTAGTCTGAACCGCGGTCTTCCGATAGAAAATTAGGATAAGTGTACGTTTAATGTATAACATACTTACTATCAGCGGTCGCGCAACCCAACCGTAGAAGTCAACGTCGACTTTGAACACACATTGATGTTGCCGAGCGATGTTGAAAAGCCGAACAATCAATTTCATGACGTCCTAGATGCATTAAGTCTAATGAAAGAGGTACTATGTCAGTACTCACTTTGACTTCACTCTTCCAAGGTCGTTGCTCAGCGAAGCTATCAAAGAGATGAAGCTCCTTGCTCTGGAGGTGCACAATACACAAGACCCAATGACCGACACCCGAGGGCCTATGAATTGGTATGATCCATACATCCTTGGCCCAATATTTAGTCCGTGATATGTTGCGCCAAAGCATGTCGTCTGATGCATTGTACCGAATGCGGGGGAGGTCGTGTGTGGACAAAATCGTGTATTGTTGGACAGCGGGAGAAGCCTGTAAATAGTCTAAATAAAGCAACACTGCACAACCGTTGATGAGGCTATCGTTCAGTAGTGCAGTAGGCGATGCGAGGATCTTGATGTCCTTTGGTTCGAAAATTTGCTGTGGGAATGCATCGCGGGCGGGACATACCAAAGTTCTGAGGATTCCAGGGATAATAACGGTAGTCTCATTCATCAGCGGTACTGCGTCAATGATGACTCGCTAGATAAACTATGAATGCATGGACGCCTGGTAAGGAAAGATGACTTACCTTGGGAGTGTGCCAGGTGATGAGAGCACGAGGGTCAGCTGGGATATCGATGTCCTCTTCATCTTCACTGTCAAGAGTGTCAACGTTTATGATGTCATCGAGGGCAAGGTGTTCAGGTGGAGGATCATCGAAAAACGTAGTGGTAACCTCCGGATCCTCTGCGCCCTCTTCCTCCTCCATGGAAGTGGTGCATGATATCAATGGAACCCAGTGAAGTGCACATTCTTGGGAGGCACCTGAGATCCGCATCGCCAATGATTCAGCATGTCTTGCGCGAGATTCAAATTGTAATGGTGACGCAAGTGGGTTGGACCAGCAAATTTGAAGATGTCGGAGATGCTCCCGCCGCTGATGCAGTAAGATGGAAAATCTGATATCTGTGAAGGAATTAGTGCATGTATCAAAGGTGACATAAAGGAAGGTACACACTTCCAGGCAACTGTAGAGCGAGTTCTATTGCAGCGAGTTCATCGCCAAACCACCTGCAAAGGTTGTCAGCTTCTAGCCCAAGCTGTCTCTGCTCCTCGATGCATCTATCACGCTTTAACATAGCGCGTATCCCATCACGGACATCCTGATCATCCAGCCAACGAGGAACGTCGCCCACTGAAGGTGTAATCCAAATGTCCTCCATCAATGTTTGATCATTACGGAGTTCATTCAGCTTGGTAGGGAGAGGGGTCGGAAGAGGGATACTGCAATCTGGTTCGTATAGTTCTTCAAGTTGTTCGCAGTATCCATTGAATTTGCATAGTGCGGCCAGTAAGGCTGGTTGTCGCTTTGATATGGCCTTTCGGGTTTGCTGGTGAAGTTTGGTCCCTGCAAAGTGTGAACACACGTCACCAAGCGAGTCTATCCACCTACCTAATGCTTGTTGTGTGCCGCCGACAGCACGATCGAGTTTGTCCCACTCGAAGAAGCTCCCAATTGCGCACTTCCGGATGTTAATCTTCAGGTCCCGTGCTAAGAGAAGTGTGCGAACGAATTCAATGTTGATTCCTTCTAGCTCAGGGAACCTGTCATGAACGTTGAGGGAAGCATATAACACATCCACCTTGTCCATGAGGCGCTGGTGACTTCGTTCGAGGCTCTCGATCGCGTCACGCGTGCATTGGGACGCATTTCCCTTCGATATCACCTCGCTCGTGGCTTGAAGTGCCTTCTCTGAGGCATCAAGGTCACCTTGGAGGGCAAACACAGTGTCCAGCTCTTTCTTGAGCCAAGCAGGGGCATCTATAGAATAGAGTTAGAGATGGTCAGGCTGACGAAGTAAATTGAACGGACGAGCACGGATAGACAACTGTGACTGTCGTTGCAGAGCCCATTGATGTCGCAGATCTTCAATTGTCGCATCGCACTCACTCAGCGTGGCCTGTGCAGCTGTCCCTTGCTCATCAATCCCTCGTTTAAGTCGACGCCGGATCCAGTCCCCAAGGTCAGCGCGCATCTCAAGACCGATAGCAGCAGCTTGTCGGTCAAGTAGCCATAACCGACGTTGTCTCTATAGTAACTCAAATATCAGTAGAAATGATACAAAAATTGAGGGCACTTACTGACGAAGAGCGCTGGATACCTATCAAGCGGATAAACCTCGACCATAGTCTCTCAGTGCCTTCTCCATCTGAAAGGCCAAGACCTTCGCATATTTGTGGGTTATAAATAAGTTGGCACGACCATTCATGCCCATAGGCATGCATTGCGGTGGTTGCGAATCGCAAGCGCTTCGTTACAGTTTCGGCAAGTATGTCGTACTTGAAGGGATCAGCAATGAGGTTCGAAGAATTACAGAAATGACTCACCTGACTTAAAGATCGTGCAAGAACACATCCCACATCATACAGAGTAACGACTGTTGCGCCTCCAGGTATTAAAGCAAAGAGGTGATCGATTAGGGCGACAGCATATTTTTGCTGCTCACCTGGGGTGTCAATGTTTGCAAAGAAGAGGGGAATGTCGTGTCGACATATCAATGCCATGACTCCCGTGTCGTCGAAGCTGTCCATGGCTGCTTTCTGCTTCTTCCCATCGGCGGCCTCGTACGAATTCTCGCACAGGTCGATAGCCTCATGAGGTACAAGTGGTGCATGTGGCTTTGGAGCAGACTTGCGAGTGCGATCAATGTGTCGACCAATGGCGTCGACCTGAGCTTTCGGTAAGAAGTAGGAGGGATCATAGAAGTGAGGTGAATCGCCTGCTGAACACCGATGTCGATGATGGAAGTTCCCATCAGTAGCGACATGAATATCACCGCCTTCTTCCAGCTTCCTGCCAAAGACGACTCCTCCAAAACAGGCAGGGCAACGCTGAAGAAGGATCGCGGCACAGCGCTCGCGTGGAATCACGTCTACAGTGGGAATAAATGGTGCGGGATGCTCTGGAGGTTCTCGAGAGGCCTCTACGAGGTCTCGGCTTGCTTGAACAGCGCGTTCAAGCTGGGATTCAAGCTCCACCTGTAAGACGTCAAACCAAAGAATGGCTTGACCAAGACTTCGCCGGAAAGGCTCTTGAATGAATTCGCCCTAAGTTTTGTAAGAATCGAAGGAACTCAACATAGATTCACTTACTTTGCCATTGGTCATACGAAAACCTCTACGGACGTAATGCGTGTGAAGGGCAGATGCGAGTGCATTTACAGCATCACAGGAGCGCTCGAAAAGCGCGCGATAGAACGCGAGCAAGTCCGTAGACACTGCCATACGCGGCTGGGAGGGTGAAGTGGGGAACAAACCGTGCAGAATCAGGACTTGAGCTGCAGTAGCGCATCTGCAGCTCAAGACGTCGAGGGAGGTGAAACCTTGGAAATCATTAATGAATTGAAGCATTCAATAGCTAGGGACTTACTATCGAAGAATAGTCCAATCAAGGTCGTGCACCTTTGTGCACATTTCTGGGAGCGACATGCAGACAAGACCGTTGAAGGTCGCTCGAGAATCTTGCCGACGGTCCTCTGAGTATACCCGAGTTGAACATCAACGAGTGTGGGTATCAGTGTTTTCCAGGTATCGTATAAGCGTGCGGCGGCGACATCAGGTAGAATTCGATGACTTTTAATACATTCAGAGGTGTTTAGTGGCGGAACAGATTCGTCAGGTTGGATAAGTGGAAAAACTTCGTTTTCGATGAAGGAATCCTCGTAAGCATCGGCGGGAGTGTTCTCGATATCAGGTGAGGTGGAAGTAGTGGTTGGTTCAGAACTTGAAGTTGATTTTCCTGCGAGGAGGGCTGCTAACTTGGCTTGTAGTTTATCTTGCTTTGCTTTCTGCCCGGGCAGCTCGACTAACGTCTGGGTCTTGAGTTTGTTTCTGGGTTTCCGTGGACTGACGAATTGGGCGCCTAATCCAGATGTTGTGAGCTGGGCAGCACGTGTATTTGAGGGCTGGGGAGCCATAAAAATGAAGGTAGAACGCGAGTTGGATATTTTTATTTCTAAATTAAGGTAATAATACGGGACATTTTCATGTAAGTATGTGGTGGGGAGGGCAACGAGGTGGCATCCTAGGTGCATGTGAGGCACGCGAGCAACCCAGTGGGAGGGCAACGAAGTGGTGGGGGAGGGCAACGAGTCATGATTTTATTTTTAGAACAGCCCTAAAATTAGATTGGCGAATCCTGGGCCTCTCAGGCCAGGTTCCCATAACATAGAAACCCGGCCTAAGAGGCTACCTTTTACCTCCGAAAACTACTGCCTGAGGTGGGCTCTTGGCACTCACGCTGATAGGTGCCGTCGTGATCGAGATGCACGTCAAGATAGTCATGGCCTACGATCAACAATCAAGAGGGTTCGTAACTGGCTGTACGTGAAGGGTACCAACATTACTAGTATTTTTGTCAAACATCTACTTGGCCCAGAATCTCTTATTGCGACTGCGGTTTGTCATTCTCACATAATTGCATTATGATCACCAGTAACAGATTAATAGAGTGCATTTTCGACTCGACTTGCTCAATTTGGATTCAATTTTTATTCACTTTTCGTACCTGACCTACTCCATGAGTTCGAGCTCGGAGTCTGGAAGGCCATCTTCACCCATCTTCTTCGGATTTTGTACTCATATGGGAACGATACAATTCAGGATTTAAATGAACGGTTTGCTTATTTTCTATCTCACACCATCCTCATATTAAGACTGAATTTACAGGTATCAACAAGTACCAACGTTTGGATGGGGTACAATACGTCGATTCAGCAACAATGCCTCAGGTATGAAGCATCTCGCAGCGAGGGACTTTGAAGACTTGCTGCAGGTGACCGTTGTGCAATGTGGAGTTACTGTGAGCTAACATCAACAAAACAGTGTGCTATACCCGTTTTTGAGTTGCTGCTTCCATCTCGGTGGAATGAACCTTTGCTAGATCTGCTATTCGAACTCGCAACATGGCAAGGCCTTGCGAAACTGCAAATGCATACTGACACGACACTTGGCTTTCTCGACACATCCACGACACGTCTTGGAAGGTTTCTCAGGCACTTTGTCAAGGAGACTGAGGAAGAGTTTGAGACACAAGATCTACCGAGCGAGGAGGCTGCTCGTGGACGCCAAAAGGCTCGACAGGCAGCAAAACAAGGGCCTTCACAGTCTGCAGCACTGACTTCAAGGCAAGGTACAGATGGGCCAAAGATCCAACGCTTCAACTTTGAGACATACAAGCTCCATGCCCTCAGTGACTATGTAGATGCTATTCGTCAGTTTGGAACAACGGACAACTTTACCACTCAACCGGTGTGCTCTAGAAGCGATTTTGTTTATTTTGGCACTGAATCAATATATTCCAAGGCGAGCTTGAACATTGTCGCGTCAAACGATTCTATCCGCAAGTCAGCAAAGCAAAGTTCACATCTGGAATTGCAAAACAGGAACGTCGTGAACAGATTCTATTCAAAATGGCTCGGGCAGAGCACAACAATTCAAAATCGGAGAAAGGCAAGTCTACAACAGTCCGTAAACCTGGTCATACAACGACAGCAGGTGAAGATGCCCCCTTTCACATGCCCTTCGAAGCATCAGAGCCTTTGGCTTACTCAGACCCAATGTCACACTACCACATCTCCAATGGCACGAGATACCACTTGAATCTCCCCCGATGGCTCATCAAACATGCAAACGATCCTGTGTTAGATGTAAGCTGTGAGTTTCTTTGAGTTAGCAGTGCTCATGATCATAATTCCTAAAGGACTTCCTTCCTCAGCTGAAAGATCACCTCCTTTCTTGCATACTTGGTCGTGAATACGATGGTGACAAGACAAAGTTCTCTTCAGCCGAGCGTTCCCAAGTCCTGTTCGTTAATGACCACATATTCCAGCACAAGGTCATTCGTGTCAATTATACGACATATGATCTGTGTCGCTCTCAAGATTCTCTTAATCCCCGCACACATGCAGATGTCATGGTTCTCGGACACGAAGACGATGACACACATCCATACTGGTATGCACGTATCCTGGGCGTGTTTCATGCAAATGTCATCCATAGAGGTGGGGATGCACCCTCGTTTGAACCACGGCAGATGGATTTCTTGTGGGTTCGGTGGTTCGGTCGTGATCCTAATAATTATCGGTCTGGATGGAAGGCAAAGCGTCTTCATAGGCTTGGGTTCATCCCCGCTGATGTACCAGGAGCATTTGGCTTTCTCGATCCACAGCAGATTATTCGAGGCATCCACTTGATACCTGCATTTGCCCATGGTCACACTAGTCTATTACTGCCGCCCTCAATTGCTCGTCCGCTACACGACAAAGACAAAGACTGGAAATTTTTCTATGTTAATATGTATGCTATTTTTGTACTCCTGACATCTGTCAGCGACTGTCACTGACCTTTGTGATTCAGATTCGTCGACAGAGACATGATGATGAGGTTTCGTGGTGGTGGGGTTGGCCACAAGTCTACTCGCGAGTCGACTGCAGTTTTCTTGGAGGACTGCGACCCTCTAGATGAAATCACTCGAGACGATAGCGAGGAAGACTTTGAAGACTTGGAAAGTGGCATCAATCAGGGGGCACAGCTCAGTGCCGGGTCTGCTAGTACTACCGCACAAAATCAAGCTACTGGTGATGAAGACGAAGATGATATCGAGTCCAAGATGGATGAGTATGGGTATGGGGGCCTTGATGAGGAAGAAGAGGCGACCGACGAAGAAGATGAAGAACAAGGGGACGGTCTTGAGGAAGCTAATGACGAGGTCGGACCGGAGGATGGTGAAGACGATGCTATGGATGAGTACGAAGGGTATGCAGAGCTCTAGCAACTGATTGTCGTGTACGACACTGAATTTCAAGCGAGAGTCGACGAATATACTTGGCCTTGCGGCAGTAATGAATGTAAACTCACGAAAGTCTTTTAATTATCATACAGGTAACCATCAGCCTGCTGCCGGCCATGCAAGTAACCACCAGTCTGCCCGCATCCATACAAGTCTCTGCAATACTGGCTGGAGATTATAAGAAATTCACCTGTCTGCTACACTCATACAAGATCGCTGCAAGGCCATATAATATGATAAACAGACGTGCGTGCTGATATAAGCTTCACAAAACCATATATGATCATATACGCTACGTGTTGTTTTGTTGATGACCTAGAATAGATGCCACGTTAGATTTCGCAATAAAGCCTGTCAAGTTGGGCACCTACAGTCAGCTCCAACCGAACTACTCTGCTTCCCTGGCTATCCACGCGTCCGGATGATCACAGGATCGTACGGAACACACCCTGTGATCTATACTTTCCTCCCCGGCACATAAAATGCCTTCAAGTCTCCTCACGCATCCTCCACATTCCGTTTCTTGCCGCCCGTTTACAAAAGCAATCACATAGCCCACAGTTCCTGAGTAAGAGTATGTTTGTACGCAGGACACACTAGTGATGATGTAAAGAAACTGGTAGACGGTATTGTCGACTGGGTACAGGCATGAGACCAAAGAGAAAGAGAATTAGAAAGACAGTGGTTGAATGTGGCGGAGGAGGGTGTAGGAGTATGGATGGTGTTGAAGTGTAAGATATTGTCTTTGGAAGCGCAAGTCGATGTTAAATGTACACACCATGTCAAAATTCCTGTCCTACTCCTCCGTTTCTTTGCTTTTATTCCTGCATTACTCCTACGCAATTCCTAGTATGCGTGCTCTCTCGAGCCAGGGCCGCACGAAAAATGTATCATACTAACCCCTGACGCTAGTTCGGTTTCGTGCAGCAAAGGGGGTCGTGTGGAGTAACCTCAGGATGTAGACTCAAAACGCACCACCGAAGTGAGAGAGGTGAAGAGCTCCTCGGATTCACAAGGATTATGATGCCCTCAGACTGTGTCAGTCATGCAAAGCTTCGATTGCACGAGTGCTTTGCGCGAGATAGTCGTCGTATGAATCATGATGTAGTGCTGCATGTCAAGATAAAAACACAGAAATTGAGCAATCCGCCCACACCTATATCCACCATGCTTACCAGCATTTTTGAGTCTAATGCGAAACTGCGCAATGACTTCTTGGTTGTATGCGATTGCTGAGAGTTGCGTATGTTTGACGGTGCCTACACGGTGTTTGCAATGCCAACACTTTGGTTTAGAGGATGGAACCGACCCACAAAAATGCAAGCCTACCTGAGACATGAATAACACGCGGAATGACCCTGACATCGTGGATGCTAGTGAGAAGCGTGACTGCACCCCATGCAATTCGATGTTGATCTCGTGCGACACGGATAATACAAAGGTTCGTGAGCGGTGAAAAATACTTGACTACAGCCATTTATGTGAGATAAGATGGAAAGTTGAAGAATTATGAAGGACACACGCACCATTCAACGACATCCCTACTGCTCCCCATCCGGTGTCGCCAAAGTTTGTCACGACGCTGTCGCGGAGAGCGTTGTAGATCAACCTCCCGTCCAGAGATTGTGTGCTTGAAGACTCTTTTTCAGTGGAGGCATCCACCATAGACGTGTCGATGAATTCGACAAGGAGCCAGCGATTCTTGCTTGATTATATGAGCATGCTATCATATTCCGTTGAAAACAAGGAGTTTTTTTTTTACCTTGAACCGAACCATGTCTTGCGCTGAAGTGCAAACGCTACACAGTCAATACTTAATGAAAGGTGGGCCTTGAAAGAGACGGAGACCAACAAACTGGAAGCTCCAGGATGTTATATCATATTACAAGTAGAGTCCGGGTGCGATACCGGAGTTGGCAGCAGCAAGTAGCGACTGTTACTCAGCTGTAACTTGAAATGGTCTAGGGTCTCGAGATCTTGAGATGGGATCAAACATCTATCTCCATCATGCGGACTTGGCTATACAAGCGCTGTGCAGTAGTATATCTAGCACGAACGCTATCATTATATCACACCACCAACATTTCCCGCTCGCTCACACTCGTCCTCAAATATGACCATAGTTTC